GCTTAATTGGCTCCAGGACAATTCAGTGCATGCTTGTCGAACTATTTACCCCTGCCGTCTGGAACAAAATTTTGTAGAAGAAGCGGCTTTTATGTTCATTTGATGTTTGCATAATACCAGAATTTTTCTGGTCATTTGTTGCGTGTACTTTCTAGTGAGTACTTAAAGAACCCATTCGCGGAAACTGTCATTTATTGTCAGTTTTGTTATGGATATAAATAATTATTAATAAATAATATTTCCTTCGAAAAGTGAGGGCAGTTCAACGTAAGTTATAAGCACATTATTACAACAGAATGCTTTCAAGGAGCGTAATACTTTCAAAGGAAATATGAACTGAAAAATTTTGCTGACTCATCCAGATGAACTGCAGGTAAAAAAAAGATTACTTTTTTTTTTGTAGGACTGCACGCTTGTAAATAATCGTACATGAAGGCCAAGTTCCCTTCACACAAGTGATACAATTTTGAGTATGCTAGCCTTGATTTAAGCCACGTTATCAAGTTTTTATACCGTTGTTATAAAAAAGATAATTGAAGAATCCAAAACCTGTGTACTCGCCTCTGGTTCTTTTGCCCCACCATTATATGATCTTTATATACAGTGGGTGTAAAAAGTATCTCTTACAAAGGAAAAACTTTATTTGATTGAAGTTTATCCAAAATAATAGCATGAACAAACACTATTCAATGTAAACTTACACACATAAACAAACACTATTCAATGTAAAATTACTTACAAAAAAAAAACAAATCATTAAATGTTGGGTTGATAATTGCAATATTGTAAGAGTTAAGGTTCAAAATAATGAAGTATTTCTTTTGTGTTGGATACTTTTTGCACCCTCTATACTTCTGCAGATGATACGCTTTGTTTCTGCAGAATCATCGCCGTTGATGTCAGAACTCTGTCAAGGTTGGAATCTCTAAATGAGGTCATGAGACCACTCAATTTGAATAGATGAAAAAATTATGCAATGAAATGCATTGTATCTTATGGTTTTAACAATTTTTTTCTACGAAATTCGTTGCCCTGACTCGGATAAAAATAGCAACCGCAATATTAATTTTGATGAATGCAAATTGAAAACTTGGCCTCAAAAGCGATGGGATCAAAATTTTCTTCGGCACCAACATTGACCATAAAAACAGTTTCGATTAAGTTTAATGATGAACAATTTATGTTTATACGAATCATGATCATTCAAGTAAACAGAAAAAAATTGAGCTGAATAAAGCGGGGCCATTGGGGCACTTGTGTTGAATCTTTTCGAACAGCATTGCCGAAAATTAATAATATCCTAAATTTCTAGCAAATCCATTCACAAATGAAGAACTTTCAATTAGTTAAGTTGCCCAAAAGGTGTGTTTTTTTGTTTGAATCCAAAAGAAAAGACGTAAAAAATCTCTAAATATTTCTAGCGCGAGGCATGCTTAATGATCGGTTATATTTTGAGTTACAAGCAATTTTGCTCAGAATTAAATGATAAAAGTTGTGTTTTTGTTTAAGTCCAAAAGAAAAGACGTAAAAAATCTCCAAATATTTCTAGCGCGAGGCACGGTTAATGATCGGTTATATTTTGAGTTTCAAGCAAATTCGCTCAGAATTGAAGGACAAAAGTTGTGTTTTTTGTTTGAATCCAAAAAAAAAAAAGACGTAAAAAATCTCTCAATATTTCTAGCGCGAGGTATCGTTAATGATCGGTTATATTCTGAATTTCAAGCAAATTCGCTCAGAATTGAAAGAATTACATGATTGGTTCAGGGAGGCAGAGGTTGCGTTTTGCGTTTGAGTCCGCTTGCAACTTTGCAGGGAGCTCGAAGAACTGTTGAACAGGTCGTTAACGTTGATTAAACCGCTAGATCTTTCACCGCAGTTGATTGTTCAATTGAATCACTGATAGAGACATGATAGGTTCTTGAATATTAAACGATTTTTTGCTTCTTTGTGTGAAGAAACCGTTTGAACATTCAGTTAGACACCATATTAACAATATTCGCATATCGTCTCATACACCGAAAAATTTAATTGGATTGTATTTCATATAAACAACATAGAACGTTTCGAATACGAAACTTTCTGACTTTGATAACAAGTTTTTTGCTGAAGGCCAAGCTGAATTCAATATGTATTCAGGCATAGTTATAATGCATACATTCATCACACTCTGAATTGCGGGGATTCACCACTACAGTAGTTATCCTTACTCCTACCACGTATAACGTCGCAATCATTTAGCCCTCGAGCGATGGTCGAGAAAAAGCTGCCTGCCAGGCCGACTTTTTCGGGAGTACGATGTTGGAAATACCAGGACAAATCGGGTAAAGATGATTTTAAAAGATAACTAATCACTCGAATTCGGCTTTAACCAGTTATTCACTCACAGGGCAGGAATTTGCCGGACTGTTTTTTTATTATAAATTTTTGCATGTAAAATATTGCTATCAACCTTTCTGATACTGTGAATTCCCCAAATAAATATAGCTTTAACTTCTGTGAAAGAATTTTTTTCGCAAGCTTACGGTGGTTTATCATTTAATCTATATGAAATAAAAATGTAATTTTAATATAAAACTGTCCAGTTATCATGAGTTATGACGGAGTGCTGAAGTTTGTTTGTTATATGTTCTCGAAACATTTTTTCTATGCGAGGACGATCATACAAGTCCGATGCGTAAATGGGTGATGCAGAGAATTGGGAATCGCTCGTTTTTGGGAATATACTAATAAAAATCATCATTCTTTGTATGTACGAACTACATTTTCTTTCTTCATAGCGTGAGTCTGTAATGAAGGCTGTCCTTCATCGGGGTTCGTTTCACTCACTCGGTTAATTCAAACATTTAGGAACACCAACAATTTAATAGAACAAAACAAAAGCAAAATTTACATTATTAGATAACGCCATACAATAATCTATCTGGCACATTAGCTGTTCTGTCTAGCGATTCAACCCACGACATCTGCGAATTCCTTAAACATGATATGTTCAGTCTTAAAATGCCTAGCAAATTACGGACCAGGCAATAAGTCCAGCAGCTATCTCAATCAATCGTCAGCTATGGAAAGATAGGGTTCCAAAGGCCGGATCCATTGTGAATCAAGTCACGAAAATTTCAAGAATCGGCAACAAGCCATGGGCCTATTTCTTCAGTGCCGACATTTCCATTTTATTCTATTCTATGATAGTCTGCAGCGCTTCTCTGATCCTCAAAGTGAGAAGTCGGTCCATGTTGTGAACATTGAGTACAAAAGCTTCAAGGACAAGCTTGGAGAGCGCCACCTCGAGTCCAGTCCACGCGAAATCCACAACCCTGCACATTGAAAATAATAATACTTAAGAACTGACCAAGACTAATCATTTAACTAAGCACTTGAATAATAGAATCGCAACGTTACAACTCGATAGCCACTGAATATGAAATCGGTGCAGCCTATTTTGTTGACTGGAACCAAAGCAAGTAAAGGCGTAATGATTATCGTCAACCATCCCCATAGAAATGGGCAGTTCACAGTAGGACTGCTGGGTAACGACTGGTCTAATGCCCGGTCTATCACTCTTGTCGAGCGTTTCCAACCGCTGTGCCTTCTGGAATTTAATTGACAACCTTACAGGGCCTTTGAGATTAGAGAAATATAGGTTTATTTCCAGTTCCGTTCCTCGCATGCATCTGAATCAAATTCCTTCTAGATTATATTATTTTAAATGACGCTGTGACGATCATTAAATTAACAATATGAATATAATCCAAATAATGTAAATCGATTTACGAGTAGAATATTAAAAATATTTTATTCCGTTCGCCAAAAATTGTTCGTTCATCAAAAATTTGAATGCAAAAAGAAAAGAGAGCGCCTACGACAATACAGAAAACCTAGGTTTTAACGCTCTCGAAAATTTTGGGTTAATTTCATTGATTGTACCGATATTCTCAAAATTTTTGAACTGATGATTGAGCTGGTCTCCCAAACATTTTTTGTTGAAGATCTTGGGAATATACTTGACATTTTCTTAGCATTTTTGTTATCTTCTTATATTTAAACCTCTAAAACTCTAAAAGGAGTTAATAGTAATACACAAGCTTCGTTGCTTAACCTGTAGCATAGTTGTGCTTTAAATGGTATGCCTTTTCAAACTCGTATTAAATATAACACGCGAGTGAATTTTCCAATTTTTGGGACTCGTAAACCAATGCCAAGAACAAAGTATGAAAACTAGTTGTTTTCTTTGTAAGTTTTACGCCATGCATGATTGGACGACGCATTATATTTACCACCCATCTAAGATGGCGGTAAAAATTAATAAAATTAGGCAGCTCATTTATAATAACAAAATTGCATTCCCATGGAGTAACTTTAATGAACTGACGAAACAGGCATCTATGCATGTTCTTCTGCTGTAGGCCTTCATTTACACAGAAGTTCATAATCCAGCTCAGTGATCACAACTTAACAGGTCAAAATTATCTGTGCTGTTTTGAAAAACGCTCTCTTATAAACTTTTTATATCAAATAAGATTGGTTTCCAAATTCCGAGGCATAACTAAAAGTAGGGCCAGGGATTCTAAATATTAGGTCTTAGTATACCATACTAGCTGTAGATCAATTTGCACTGTGTTCCGAATGACAATTTATGCCCGAGTTTTCCCAAAGAGTAAAAACTAAGCTGTTTGACAAGAATTTCTTTTAAACGCGTCAGCGATCAATTGTCTCGAATCCTATCTAAATACGTCCTATTGTCTGGAAATCCCTACCGGCCACTGCGGATTTCTGTGCGGGCTTTGAAGCTTATCCTGAAATTTCGAAATTCTTTTATCGCTGTAAATAAGCATAATGCCAAACTTCAAAAAAATTGCGTACAATAAGTCTTAAATAATTCTAGTTATTTTCGATCCATGGGGTTGATACATGGTATGGGGTTGATACATTTATTGCGAAGAAGCAGGAATTTATTTTTGTTGGGGACAGTCTTCTACAACTACATATTTATATTTTTTCAGACAATATAGCCTACGGTACACGATTCGAGTGTTGCATGAGGTGGATTTTTCGTCAACCGCTGCACCAGACGCGATGACTCACTCCAACAAAATGGGAAAGGTTAGTAAATGTTTCCTAAACATGATAGGTGCATTTGAAAAAAATATAACTGCAGTGAGTGACAGAGAGCGCATTTTCTCGTCGACGAAAACTTGAGGCCACGGACGGACGGACAGACGGACAGACAGACAGACAAGCAGGCGGACATGGCGAGCACAATAGTGCATTTTTTTCCATAAATGAGAAAATGCGCTAAAAAGGAGCACTTAGAGTGATAATATGTGGCTACAATTCATAAATATAATCAAAGATATAGTTCTCCTAATCTAAATTCCATTTTTAACTCGCTATTGTCAACAAATCAATGATTAGGCCTCTAGGTGGAGGGATTGTAAAAAGTTATTGTACTAAGACGAACGTACATACGTGTGATAAACCAAAAAGACGTGATTAAATATTTAGATATTCAAAAGTCAATTATTTTTAACTTTTTTAAGACATGAAGTGGTTTAGTGCCGGGTGAGAGGTGGAAAAATGTACTAAATTTTATTACAGGCATTCTTGCACTTGATTGTATAATTTATTTTTAAATAGTCTTAATATATATATATATAGATATATATATATAAGATCGAGTCTTTTAATAAAGGAACTAGAATCAATCAATCTATCACACGAGCATGCACGTAAATAAGAAACTTAGATGGTTATGGGCGAGCAAAATATTTGAAAATTTCATAAGTTACTCACATCGACCATGCCGCTCTGTCACCGTAACCTGTTCTCCAAAATTTTCGTGGTCTTGAGCAGAGATTCCTCAGCGTTTAATCTCTCAGAAATAATAAAAATATAACTCAGTACTCACTGCAATGAGTGACAGAGAGTGCATTTTCTCGTCGACGAAAACGTGAAGTCACAGACTGACAGACAGACAGACGGACAGACAGACGGACGGACAGACGGACATGGCGAGCACAATAGTGATTTTTTTCATAAATGAGAAGATGTGCTAAAAATCATTGCAGTACTCAAACACTGACCGAGCGCTTCTGGAATGAGATGGAATTTGAAGAAAAGATGGAGTCTAAACTTGTCCAAATGAAGCTTTTATCGCGAAAAATGAGATTTTTTGTGATTTTTAATAGGAATTTGTGTGCATCATTGTGATCTCATATTTAAAAAGTCCACGTAATTAATTTGTCTGTCTAAAAGAAATACTGTCTTAAATTATTATTGGACCAATAGACATCAGCCCTAACGTCATTTAATTCGACTTCGACTAAAAATACATCTGACTTGATCAAAGTAAAGCAGTAAAAAGTTTTAATGAGGACAATGAATAAAAAATCACTCATAAGAGCAGAAAAAGAAAATTGCTCAATCGAGCAAGATACATTAAGCGAGTTCAGTCCCTCCCCTCACCGATGCTGCTTAAATATTAAATATGCGCTCATTAAACGTAATTATGCTGCCAAAAATTGAGTATAAATATCACGAGCACATCTAAAAGACCCAGCATTGGAAATGATGTACCATGAACCATCAGTGATAGTGGTAGCTTACATCTGAATCACCACTGAAGGCTTATACTAGAGGAATGCCATCACAAGGTGATGTCTTACTATAATCAAATATAAGAGAATGTTTTCGGTAGGTCATCGAGAACAAATCTAACTGTCTTCTGTCTCGATTGTTTGACACCGATGATTATTGCTTCTTTGGTTACATCCTGCCATTGTGTTTAACCCTCTTAGAATCTTTTCGTTGGATTCATAGATATTGAATTCAGTGTTTGCTTCTGATTACTTGACTTTACGTAAAAAAGTCTACCTATATTATTTGGTAGTCTTCAAATAGTCAAAACTTTCTCTGGCATGTACGGGAAAAGTCTGGTAGTATAAAGTCGCCGAATGATCACACTGAGCTTAACAGACTTTATTTAACAAATAGTTTCTTGATCTCTATGCAACGTCTAACAGAAGTAATTCTGCCAGAACATGAATCAATAACTATTCATGGATTATTGAGCAGGTATTGAGTGATTCGGGGTTGCAGCTGCTGCTGGGTCGAGCACAGGCATCAATCAACGAAGTAAGCGAGATGTTTATGTCAAAATTCGGGAGCATCAGAATTTCCGGAGGAGAGTCCTGGAAAGACGGAATTTACTTCGTCACGGAAGCAGCCGAGGCCTGTGGGAGAGCGTACATGATTCCTGTTTCGCAATTCCTGCAAATGATGCATCAGTTGACAGACCCAAGTGATACAGTGCTACGAGTCCAACGCTTCCAGACTGCAGTTGAAGGAGTCCCTATTATCCCTACGGCAATGTTCAATCACCAGTTTGTAGTGTTCGAAACTCAAGGCTGTTGGTGGTGGTCCATTGAAAAAAATGCCGAGGGACTGACTCTGCAGCGAAGTAGAGACGTCAAAGCGGTCCGTCGTAGGTATCGGCAACAGCCTCGACCTGAAGAAGTACTATTGGAGGAGAAAAACGGCACGTGTGATATTCGGGAATTGGTATCATTTTTATACTCAGAAAGAGAATTGACTAAAATATACCACGCATTCGTGAGCAACTGCCAGCATTTTGTTGTAGATGTCTACAAGCACTTGACCAGATCACAGGAGGAAAAAACTCTCATTCTGGAATACTCAGAGAGATATTCTCGAAAAGTTCGTTATTATTTGTAGTGGTTATATAGTATAATACACAATCAGCCATAATTAACCACTTGTTATCACATAAAGTTAAGTCTGCAGTTTAATTTACTCAGTATTACCTTTTTTATTTGATGGGCATTTATGTATTTGTTAGCTTATGAACAAGACAATATATAATTATTAATATCCATTGTTTCCCTTCATTTAGGTTTTGATATTCAAATAGTACACATAATTTTAACCATTGTGATAAATCTGTAGACAAGTATTATTAATTTGTTTATTAATATGTTATGTATAAACATTGAACCATAGTCGCAAATAAGCGTGGTAGCGTCAAATTTTCTTTCATTAGCACCATCTGTCCATATGAAAATATCTTTCATGTGCATTAGGCAAAATATAATACCTTATTTACTTGCATGACCAAAAAGTGAAATAAGTTGAAGGAATATTAAATACAAACGATAAATCTCACGCCAATGTGGGCGTATGTGTGTGCTGTTGAAATTTTTTACGCAATTTCATGTTTCCTTGGCCATATGCTTGATATGAAGCAGGCATGTTGATATGGACTATTTTCCCTGTATGTTATTTTTTGATCGTAGGACCGCACCTTTCATTCAAATACTTATCATATGCCAGATGGAGATATCCTGACTGTGAATTTATTCCCTTAAATAAATTCCCATGTACTGAGATCTGGGAATTTATTTCCTTTGCTTGTCGATGCCTTTGACTACAAAACTTGGTCAAGAGATCTGCGATTAGAGATCCTGGCCTCGCAATCCCTGATTTGACTTCTATGTCCTTTGATCTGTTGTTATGGGTCGATGATATGTTAAGGGAGTAACCTGTCAAGTGACAGACAGCCGTTCGTTATTGGAATATTTTGAAGCATTGCACTTGAAAACAGAATTTGCTTAGGTTGAAGAGGTAAATCTTCATTTCTCGTGTCAAAATCTATCAAATTTGCTGATATATCCTTGGTATCCATAGTATATGTTTCGGACGTGGCGGTCCCATGCAGGCCACGATGGATGGCCGCCTTTGACTGTCGCGCAACAGCCTTCATTTTGGCCAGCTGATGCACAATGCTTGCTTCTCGCCGCTGTTAGTGATGCAGGGGCGGACGATCTGGAATTGGGCCCAGGAACACGTCCAGTCATCTCGTGAAGGTTTACAGGTTGAACTCACTCTCTCTTAGATCCTTTGTTAGGACGGTGAACAGCCTCGGCCCTCCCACGGAAAGAGATCCTTCCTGCGGGGACAAATATATGACCGCAGATCTATCACGTCATGGCTGAAACCTGCACTGTTTCCCCCTTCGATCGTTATGGTATGCTTCAATACTGAAGGTCTCGCTTTCAAAGTTTGATGCCATTCCGGTTATTATTTTCTTGCGTACAGAATGAAATACCTCACCCGTCTCCTCTGCAGTGAGTACAGACCCAGGCGCTCCAACCTCCCCTATATAGTAGCTCAACTCCTCCATCCCTGTAATCCTGGAAGCGAAGCTCACTGGACCCGTTCCAGTCGCCGCACTGCTTTGAGTGTGAACGGGGTCCAGAGCCGGCAGCAGTATTCAAGGAGAGGTATCACAATGGCTCTGAAGAGTGCTATCATCGGTCCCGCTTCTCTTTTTCTGAACGTCCGCTAGATTCAGCCCATCTGCCGCCTGCCTCCTGCGGTTTTTGCCACTATGTGATAATCTAATTTGACCTGAGTATTCATTTACACTCCTACATCGCGAACGAGTCGCTTCTCTCCGATTCTCGAGCCATCAGGTGCCAGGTGGTGGTGCTCCATACCAGCACTTCTGCTACCTTTGTATCTCAGAACCTCAAACTTGGTCCCGCTGAACTGCATATTGTTCACTTGGGCCCAATCATATTTAGCAGCGAGGTCTTTTGCAACCTTTTGCTGTCTGTCCTGTCTGTAATAGTCATTAGTATCCTGACATTGTCGACGAATGACGATGCAGGGGCGTGGTTCACTGCAAAATCTATGTCGGCGATGTGGACGAGGAAGAGGATAAGGGCCGAGTACCGTTCCCCCACTCTTCAACCTAGCTTTGCTCGATCCCGAGCCTGCAACAACGACAGCTTGTGGTCTTTCAGTTAGGAAGTTGTGGATCCATGCCAACAATTCACCTCCGACTCCCAGTGGTCTTCATTTTCTGAGGAGCATTCCATGGTCAACTTTGTCAAACACTTTCACGAAGTCTAAATACACAACGTCCAACGCCGGCGGTAGTGATTTGGTAGTGCGGCTCCAGCAACTACGACAAACAGGAGCGATTTCGTCCAAAACCGTGTTGTCTTCTTTTGAAAAAGTCAGCTTCCTCCATTTACTGTACCAACTTTCTTGTCACGACCTTCTCAACTACCTTGATTACATGTGATGTTAATGTAGCTGACCTGTTTTTTGGGGTTTACCTCTCGCACGTCCTGTGTCCATTAGTGTTATTAGCCCTAATTTCAGGTAACAAGTAAAGTTTAATTTTTTCAATGATGTTTTCCAGAGTAAAAAGTCAGAGGAACCTTCAGAGCACCGACACATTTTTTCAGTAATACTGTAAGAACCCCATCTGGCCCAGGAGCCGAATAAGTCGACAATTCTTAGATACTCTTCTCTGGATCCGATGTTTCAAACCCAATGTTCACCAGTACCCGCCCCCATGGCAGCTCTTGAAGGACTCTAATTTCGTCTTGAGAATCAAGGGTTGCTGAATACTTTTTCAAACTACGCTCCTATCAGTTCGCACATGTTCTGGTTGTCTCCAATAAGGACATCGTTATTTCTCAGAGGCCCCATTGTGGCTCTGATTTTGGCCTTTGACTGAGCATAGTTGTAAAAATATTTGAGGTCCATCAAGGTCCTTAAAGTCCATCACCGAACTTTGTGTATCGAGAAATCCAATAAAGTTTGTTTTCAATTTTAGCTTTTTAACACTTCATATGTTATAGGGAATGATAAATTTTAAATCAATATAGTTCATAGAGAGCTCTTACAAAATTTAGATGCGGGTGCAACTTTGCATTAGGACCGCCTATAGGACTCTGTGAGCGCGTAAATAGGCCGCTCTATGTCCGCTGCGGCTCAGGGTTTGAAAGAAGCTTCTGATCAGACTGCCATCTTGGTATGATTCGGCACTGCCAAGCCTTGTCATACTCCTAGGCGAATATAATGTCGGAGAGAAGATTCTAACCGGAAACCAATTTCAACTAATTTTTGCGCCTAGTGTAGCTACTATTCGGCCGAAGCCTATATATAGGCCGTCCCCGAATTTTGATAGGGTGTTCGGAAAAATACAAAACTGCTTGGGGTTTCACGAAAAATAAGAATTGCACGGAATATGCTGGGAAAATTATTGACGATCTACTGGAAAACGATCTGAAAATTTATGGACAACTTATTAACAATGATACAGAAAGATTGGAAGAATTATGAAAAATGAAAGAAAAAATATGTAAGCAACGTATGGAATTTCTGTGTAGTAACTTTTATAGGAAACGTGCGTTAAATAAGCAGACGATGCTAGGGAGATTGGTAGTGACGATCGTATTAGAAATTTTGTTCCAGTCTCGTTTATATTGTGTTTAATTTCAGTTTCTCAACCGATTCTAAAATGTCCTTTCAGCTATTCATGTGCATCAAAATCTCAAGTTATATCCATAATGGATGTAATTTGTATATAATAATATAATATAATTATCAAATTATGTCATTATTATACAAATTTGAACCGTTGAAGGCACTGTGGTAAACTTTAAATTTCGCCTATACTATCAACACAAACTATAACTACCCGACACTAAGAAATCAGATACATTGTATTGAGAAAGATATTTTAGAAATCAATCCTAAAATTGGATGCACTTTTTCTGGGTTATTTCAAGTTTTTTTCGTGCAGAAGAATTCAACGCAACTTTTCTAATTATGTTTTCATTGGTTTCTTTGCAAACTGTATCTTTAGTCTTCTTTTACATAACAACTCTTAATTTTTTGTAAGATTCGCATAAAAAATTATTAATACAAATAATTTTCGTCGAGAGTGGAGAAATTAATGGATACATTTAAATAAGTGAAGTTAGAATTGGTAATGAAGCTTGATCGAGTTTAAGTGACATGCCGCTAAACATAAAATGCAAGGTAAATAAATCGCAGGCATGCCCGAAAGCGAACGAAGGTTAACCGAGGGTTTTTACTATAAACATATTTTCCTTATTAAATCATTAGGCCTGTGTAATCACATCATAAGGTCTGTGTAAATCATAAATTAACGCCTGTGTGTAGGATGAGAAGGAAACTAATTTAAATGGCACGTGCTCGTTGCGATGAGTGTGGCTCCTGAAATTAGTGACAATGGCACTGCAGAACTTCATAAAATTCATCATTGCTGACAGTTAAGGACGAGCTAACAAACGCAAATTAATCATTTATTGTGCTGTGGCCTGTTGTGTCATATATCATGACGGTGCAATTCTGCTTCATCGGATGGGACCTTTTTATTTTATACGCCACGTTGTTCTTTACAGGTCGTACTACGGAAGGCATCATAATATTTTCTGGCATCATATTATTTTTTTTTTCATCATATTATTTTAGCATCATATTATTTTCTGGCATCATATTATTTTTTGGCATCACATTATTTTGGCATCACATTATTTTAGCATCATATTATTTTTTGGCATCATATTTTTTAGATATCACATTTTCTGGCCACATATTTTTTCCTGGCATCATATTATTTATTGAGAATTCGCCGGAATCATTCCTCCTATAGATGCATCTCGTATTCTAGTTCAAACTTCCATAAAAATTATAGATGTTATTTTCATGGAAATTATTTTATATATAATTTTTACTATTATAGATGCAGTTTACATGTAATCATGAGAGTTGAGCTTCATAAATATATTTGTCGGGCTTCTTGCATGACATGTCACTGACGGCAATAAATAAAATTTCAAGTCTCTAAAAATCTATGATGTAGTCCATGTTACCATAGGTTATTTCAAAATATATCTTGCATGACTGAGAAACAAATTAAACGCAGCCACAGCCAAATCAACACTTTATAATTAAATGAAAACGTGCATAAATAATTTCATTTTGCGCCCGATAATGCCCTTCCAACTAATGCGATCAATTTTTAAAAACATACAACTGAAATAACATTGAAAAATATCCAAGTAAATATCAATCAATAATTTCAACACGTATAATAACATAATTT